GGGTATGTGCCCTGACACATGCCCGCACATGCCCGTGCCTAACTTGCCCAACATAGAACTCCGTCAATTCTCCACCGTTTGGGATGTTCTTGGTACCGTCGGAATCGTAAGAATTAGGACTATTTTTAGATGTTGAATTTGTATCGGGTTGTTGTGTGAATGGAAGTGGTTTTATAGTCGTGAAATCGGGTATCCAAGCCGGCTCTGCGCATGGGCGATTATCCCACCTACAACGTCCACAACTGCACCCCCACTCCCACCAGGCACTCAGTCACCTGCCCTGCAAGTCTACCTTCAGGCTGATCCCTCCTTTCCATTCTCGGGTTATAGCCCATCACTCTGCTAAACCTGTAACCTGACAGTAATATTCAGTTGGCTAACCTATAACTCTGTTAGCTCCACTCTGCTTGGTCCCACCATTCACAGGCCCACCCTCTATGTAACTATATATACATAACTTGTAGATAGGTTACACCCTAGTGATAAAATCAACTAGAGTTTCCCCTCTTCTAGAATTCCTGCCAGTTAGTAAGTTAGGGCACAGATGTGTAACTAGGCACAGTGCTCCTGGGATAAGTCACTGAGGCCGAAGCCCTCTGCCATGGGGACATTGTCTTCATCCCGGATCTGGTCTCTGACAATGACCTTAGCTGCATGTATATAAACACAGCCAGTGGAACCAGAGAAGCAGCCTTCTTCTCACCTTTCCTGCATTAGGCAAGTACCCCAGTGTAGTTTAGCTTTCCTTTTAATGACTACCCACCTTTCCCACATTAGTCTAAGTGGCCAGGGACTGCTGTCCCATATTGGGCCCATCAGCATGCATGCCCACTACCCCATGAAGGCCTCAGTGCCAGGTGCTACACCTGGGCCCCCTCAACCCCAGATGCATCCCTGTCAGGGCACACCCGCCTGACCCGGGCCCACCCGGGCCCACCCGGCCACACCACACCCGCTCCCCGCTGTCTATCCCCCTCCCCCCTCCTTCCTCCCTCTCCTCCCCCCTCTTTTCCCTTTTCTTTCCCCTTTCTTTATTTCATTCTTCTCATCCTCCTCTTCCTGTTTATTTCTTTCTATCTACACGGACCACCTTCCCTTGTATCGATGTACTATTGACCCGTCCGGCCCACACACCCCGGACGGCTTCCCGCTGTGCCCAGCACGCACGCATGTAGCGGACGCTCTCGGGATCCCCCACGGGGACACCCGGATGCCTGCGGCTGCCTCCGAGGATGACGTGGCACCTGTCATGTGACTCAAGCCGCATGTACATAAATGTACCTGAAGTGGGAACCGAAGAAGTAACCTTCTTCTCACATTCTCCACTTCAGTCTGAGTGGCCAGGGACCACTGTCCCGGATCGGGCCCGCCAGTACACACGCCCGCTCCACACCCCGCGACGGCCTCAGTGCCGGGCATTACCCCCGGGCCCTCTCGACCCCGGACGCGTCCCTGACAATCCCTGACAGATTTCCCCTCTGAATACACGAACCACATGCTTGCCAAAGTCAAGCATGACCTTATAGGTGTTCAGCCAGGGAGCACCTAAGATAGCATCATATCTTTCAATGTTAACTGCATCGAAATAATGTTTTCCAACCCAAAACATTTAGGTCAGTGTTTGTCCCATCATAAATACAGGAACGACTCCCTTTTGTACCCATCTGGAGAACCAGTGGGTTAGGAAGTTCCAGTAGGGGGATATGACATGCCCAGACAAAGTCTGGGGAAATTGCATCAGTTTCTGCCAGCCTAGTCAGCCATCTAATGACAGCCTATAGAGGGGGGCCGTTTGGCCTTCAAATGGGCCTAATAGGGGGTATTTACTAGTGGATGTCCCCAGGATGTCCTAGGATGTCCTGGGATGATTCTATAATTCAATCAAATTTGTATTATTCAGGGTAGATATTCAAAACATCATGCCGCAATTGAATCTGAATTGACCAATAAATCATCGAGAAAAACACAAAATACTTTTTTGGACACGAGTCTTTGGGTTAGTGTGGCTGTCCACCTCATGGCTGTGCACAGTGCTGGCCACTGTTTCCCACGGTGTCAACACACTTTGCATAGTTGGATAGTGTCATATCCATACAATCCCGACCTCCGCTCCGGGCTCCCGGAACTCCGAACCTGACTTCCGGAGCCCTACTTCCCTTCCGTCACCTTCTCCTTGCCGACTCCCAAAAGGTTATCCCACCTCCGGCTCGGACACCACCTTCGGTCCGACTCCGGAACATTCCGGGTCCGACCCCAACCTCAACACCTTCCAGACGAGTACACAACACCTATGTCCCCGACTCCGGACCTCCGCTCCGGAATCCCGTTGGCGTCTCTGTCTCCGGAACCTCCGGTCTTAGCTCCGACCTCGGACTTTGACCCCACCTCCGCTTATACCCATTGTATTGGTTAGCTCATTCCATTTAATTACCTTTGCCAATATTCCGGAGTTTAACCTCCGAGTTCGGACTTTCCGGACTTACTCCGGACCTTGCAACTATTGCATTGTCCATTTCAATTCCGCTATTCTCCCTCATTCCTATTTGGGCTGCTGCTTCCTTTCTATTCAGTCAGCTAGCCATTCCCGACTCCCATCCTCCTTCCTTCCTTCTTGGGCCTTGGCCCTTCATTCCTCCTTTGGGAAACACCATTGAGTCAAACACTTGACCCTCGGTGTTGCTCCTCTTTCCATCTCCCTTTGTCTCCTTTTGTCCTACCCTTGTCCCTTTTGATTCCGGACCCCTCCTTATATACAATGTACCTAGTAACTTGTAACCTCAGTCCGAAATCAACTTGAATTCCCCCCAAGAGACTTTCCCTCTGCTAGATCCGAAATTAGGGACCCCTAGGACAACCAGCAATGGCACAGCGCTCCGCCTGAGTCGCTGAGGCCAAGGTCCTTCCATGCTAAGTCTCCGATTCCATTCCGGAGTCGTCCGAATCCGCGCATTCTAACAGATAGTGTCACAGCCATGCATTCCGGCCCATTAGCTGCCCACCCCAATGCCACCCAAGCCTGTTCCCACTGTGTGAGCCCCAACCTCATCCCTACCCTCCTTGAGGACTCCCTGCTCACCCCCCTGCTTGCCCCTAGGCTCCCCTGCACTTGGCCAACTCCCCCACAGCCACACTGACCTCCCTGCCCTGAGTCTGCTATCATTCCCACACCTAGCATGACTCCGTGACATTGCCTACTCTGCCCACTTGGCCCTCACTGGGCTGCTACCATTCCCATGCCTGACTCCAGCCCAACTCCGAGTCCGGTGCCACTACCATTGCCATCACTGCTATTGCAGCCCTACACTCCTTCACTTATTTATCTGTTATTGTTTGTTTTGACCCATGGTCATTACTGGCTGCTGTGTGGCCATCCCCGCTCTTTGTTCCCATTTGCTTCCGGACCCTTCGGCCTTCGGCCCAGGTCCGCTTCTATTTATTTCCTCTTCCTATATACATATATCGTGTGTGATACATTATAGTACTTTAGCTCTAATATGTACTTGATCACAACTCCCCAGGTTCTGACCCCAGCAAAGCAACCCCAGTGAGTGTGAAATGAGGGCCAGGAGACAGCTAGGGGGCACAGTGCTCCTTTAGAGTCGCTGAGGCCAAATGCCCTACCCTCAGGCCTTGTTCACAGCATCGTGGCTATAGCAGCCTGCAGCAGCAAACCTCGGTGCCGACCCCGGATCCATATTTAACAGATAGCCCCTTCAAATAGCTTCCAGAATATATAATTTGAGACTAAATTGACAAGCAAGTTATTGAGAAAAATGCAAAATATTTTTTTGGACATGGGATATCAGTGACCCGGGAATTTCAATGACTTCAATGACTGTCACTGAAATTTAGTGGCCCAAGCACTATCCCAAAGACTTGCATCCAAAAAAGTATTTTGCATTTTTCTCAATAACTTGCTTGTCAATTTAGTCTCAAATTATATATTCTGGAAGCTATTTGAAGGGGCTATCCAACTACGCAAAGTGTGTTGACACCATGGGAAACAGTCTGGACACTCCTCCAGACAGTGGCCAGCACTGTGCACAGACATGAGGTGGACAGCCACACTAACCCAAAGACTCATGTCCAAAAAAGTATTGTGTTTTTCTCGATGATTTATTGGTCAATTCAGTCTCCAAATATATATTCTAGAAGCTATTCAAAGGGGCTATCCATCTGTGTAAAGTGCATTGAAACCATGGGAAACAGTGCTGACACCCCTTCAGACAGTGGCCAGCATTGTGCACAGACAGTTGAGCAGCCTGAGGATTGCCATGGGAAATCAGATTCAATTGTGGCATTATGTTTTGAATGTCTACCCTGAATAATACAAATTTGATTAAATTTGATTGAATTATAGAATCATCCCAGGACATCCACTAGTAAATACCCCCTATTAGGCCCATTTGAAGGCCAAATGGCCCCCCTCTATAGGCCATCATTAGATGGCTGACTAGGCTGTCAGCAATGTATGTTGAAAACCTTCACCCCCATGTGACCCATTTTATCATTGTCATTATTAACAACCTATGGTCTTAGGATGTCTAGGAAGCTGATTATTTTGAAAGTTACTCCATTTATTTGCATTGATCAACCATTGTCACTCTGCCACATCTGCAACCTCCATTTCCTGCACTCTCCTGCATCCAATTGCTAGTACCAATTCCCTAACATTGTCAGCTTTTCTTGGCATGTGGCTGCTGAGAGGAACCAGAGGGTCCCAGAGCCTATATGCATTCAACTGCAGCTCCAGCTGTGTGACAGTGGTCTTTGGGTTCCTTGCCCATTCCTCATCATCTGTCAGCTTAACAGCCTTCGATTCCTCAAGTTTGGCGGTCTCCTTTGCCACCTTCAGTATTCCTTTTGTAATGTAGTACAGTCAAAACTGTGATAACCCATACCATTGCATTCCCAGACTTTGGTATGGGTAATGACAGGTTATGGGTTATCATGAATATCGCTAAGTTTTTCTGTGCGGTCTAAAGTTATTTATATATATTCTATGAAACCTTTTTGAAGTAAGAATCAAGTGTGCTACTCCGGAGCGACACTTGGGCTTGGTGGCAGGTCTCGCGTCCAAACCGAGCCAAAGTGGCTTCCATCTTCCATGCAAAAGCTGAGTCCATCTGTTTGGTGTAAGTCCAAAGCAGAAGTGCTGCATGAAGAGCTTCCGGATGCGAGATGGTTTGTGTGTCATCGTCAGAGTCATCCACATCATCAGCCCCAAGTTCCACTAAGTCCTTTCCATCATTCCTCCATGCCTCAGTCACAGTGCTGAAGATGTCATCATCAGAGACATCTCCAATGCGAAAGATTTCCAATGGACTGTCTACCAGTTCAGCTATGCTCATCTTATTTCCCCTATGGAGGACACCAGCTGACTGGAGACTGTCCAAATTTTCCTCCAGACAAGCATTGGCAGTGGCAATTGGGTCTTCTGAGTCGAAATTGATAACCATTGACATGGGTACAGCCACATCACTTGCCCACAGGCTGGCACATGAGGGCAGGATTCCAACCTTCATCCAGCAGTGGTGGATGGTGTCTGGTGTGACCTCCATCCAGGCTGTTTGTGCCAAATGCATTGCCTCTAGCTGGTCAATGCTATAGATCTTGCTTGGTGTAACTCCAGAATCATAACAATTGATTGCATGACTGATAAATTGGCTTTGATAATGTGCTTTGAAGCAACAAATGATCCCAGCATCCATAGGCTGCACATGTGCTGTTAGATTTGGTGAAAAAAATTCGCATCATATGTTGGTCAAGTTCTCTTGTGTGGCATGGCCAGAGAAATTGTCATGTAAATAGAGAATGTGGCATCCTTGAGCACAAAGTTCAGTGTCCCACTGTCTAAGGTATGTTGAGTAGATTATTGAGGTCATCCAGGCCTTGGCATTGTTCTTGTAGTCAAAGCCAAGCTCATAGCCAGCCTTCTTCTTGAAGCATCGAGGCTTGAATGCTTTACCAATGATGAGGGGGGTGCGCCACTTGGAACCTGTGGCATTGGCAACAAAAAAGTATGTTAAGTGTACTTTATTTCCCTTCAGTCCTGGGGTTGGGCCTTTGTTTGGGCCCTTGTCAGGTGGCATACTGGAAATCACTAGTGATTGAGTGACTACAGGGAGCAGGGCCAGTTTGGCACTCACAAGTAATAAAGTCCCATTTCATCACCATTGAAAATATCACTGAGGGAATACTCAGACAAAAGCTCCTGCAAGCATACCTGCTCTGCAGCGACAGTTTCAGGGCTTGCTGAGCCAGCTTCACCATGATGCACATGCAAGTGGAGGCCAAGTCTGCTCTTAATGGATTGTAGCCATCCATCGCTCATCTTGAGTTGATCCTCTGGTGCAATGCCAGCATGGTCAGAAAATTGTTTAAATTTCGCTTGCAGTATCTCCCCAGTAAGAACTACCCCTTTCTCCTCTGCAGCTATACTCCATAGCTCTAACATATCTGTAACCATCAGAAAAGTTGTGTGCTGGATGCACTTAAACTTTGCAGCAACATCCAACTTCTGGAATTCCTCATGAAGTTTGGCCTCATTCTTCACCCAAACAGAGACAAGAGGCTGCTTGATCTTGAGATTGGGGTAGATGGGGTCAAAATGGCTGGCTGTCTTAGTCTGATTCTTTCCATTCTTGTGATACCAATCAAGGATTTCGATGCATTGCCAGAGAGTAGCCATCTCTTTATGGGTGAAGACCAGTCCCTTCTTTGCCAATGGCTCCATATCTGGGATGGCTCTTTGGGAGCCTGGAAGCCCTTTGAATGCCAGCTTGTCCAGCCATCAAGTTGTTGAGTGCACTCACACTTCAAGTTCAGGTTGGATTCACATCCTACCTCTGGCACAACATCAGCATTGGCAACACACTCTGAATTGCCGCTGCCTGCAACTTGCAGGCGCTGAACAGTTGCCTTCTGGCTGGCCGAAAGGGAGTCAAAGGAGCTCTGGAAGTCCTCTGCATGCTGAAGCTCAGCAATGAGCAATGCCTTGTCTGTAAAGTTTGCACTGCCATCCAACCATGCTTCCTCATCTTCAGTGACTGATAACCCAGATGCAAGTTTGGCTTTGAGTTCATCTATGAGAGGCTGGGCATTATTCTTAAGCGCAGTAAGGCCCTTCTCAAGAGAGGACAGAGTAATTGGAGGGAGGCTCGGCATCATGCAGAGTTGTGTTGAAAGGACCAGTGCGCACGGTTTCATATTTATTCTTTCCTAATAACTTGTCATTCTCTCATGACATTGACTGTTATTAACCTTTGAATACATATACATATTTTTGCAGGATCCTCGCTCATACTATGGGTTATGGGCTGAATTTCAATATAAAAATTTCCCTCCATGCTATGGGTTATGGGAGATGGGAGGTTTATGGGTTAGCAGACCATTTTGAATGGGAACCGTACTGGTTCCCCGACATCACTATGGGTAATGGGTTATCTCACATATGGGTTATCACGGTTTTGACTGTACTCTTCTTTGCCGCATGCTTGATTTTCTTGTTTTGGTTCAATAGGGGGTTTCACGGTTGGCTAAACAGCTCTAGACAGTGGCCTAAACTCAAATCCTAAACTGATGTCAAAACTGGAACATGTGATGAAAATGGACAGTTTTGCAAGTTTAGCTCTTGGGGCTCACATGCCCCAACTGGCCTAAACTCAAATCCAAACAACTTTCGAAACTCAGACTTATCATTCTTCAACTCCATATGCCACTGCCATGTGTTCAGCAAACTTACCCAGTGCTTATGGGATCAACTCACTGTCTGCATTGGTTACAACTCTTCCTACAACATGGCACCACTAACATCATGTCCCATTCCTCCCTTGCACCCACCTATGCAATTTTAGGTCTCTTCCCCCTTTGATTTATGAGTCGTGATACAGCCTGGCATTCAGCACTAATGCACTACCCACACCATGGTCATGGCCAATCACACCATATTCCCGAACATTCCTTACATAGCCATGTTGTACCATAGAACCTAACAATAATCACCAGTTCTTTGCCCCGGATCTGCCACATTTGTACTACCTGTACTGGGTCACACTGTCATGCATGCAAAGCCACTGGTGGCCAAAGGGGCATTTGACAACAAAGTGAGAGCAAGTCACATAGGTTACATAAGCAAAGTACCTGATGCCCAGATGGATTTAACAAACTTGGCAGACACCAGTTTAGACACCAGTTTAGAGTGTTGGAATAACCATCAGGGATGGAGTAACCTCCCTGGCATAGTGGGCAAGTAGTGTATGGATGCATGCTGTTATGGGGACAAGTCCGTGCAGGCCAAACTGACACTTATTGCACACTTCACCCCCTACTGCATCAGGGACTAGGATTGGTGAGTCGTGGTAATAGTAGGAGTTGTGGAGACTGTGGAGGTGGTTCTGAGGAGCCCAAGATCGTCGTATTTGGTGGAGTGGTTGAGGAGATCTGACATTTTCTTTATTTTCTTTACTTCTTTCATTCATTCACACATGTGACCTTCCTTTTATATTTGTATCGGCTCTTGCCAGACAACTGTACAGACAGTTAGTTAGAGGTTACACAGAGTATCAGCACCATACTCCCAAGGACCATCCTACCTGAGAGAAAGAGAGAGACTTACCCCCCCCAGACCTGAGTTGCGAGTCTAGTTGGATAGACCTGTTACAACGCTAGAGGTCCTGGGTTCAATACCAGGCTTGTCCATTTTATGTCATTTGTCCAGTCACCTGGTTTACATTAGTTGAATTCATGACATAAGTCTATAGCGCTAGCAACATGAATTTCTTCATAGAGTGCTCAACTGTGAACGCTTTGATCTTGTCTTAACAGCAGCTTAAACCCACCCCAAACTCACTCCCAACATTCTCTGGATTAGGCCCAGTTTAGTCCCTGAGTTTAGCCCAATCTAGCCAACCATGAAACCCCCTAATATTTGACTTTGCAGCCACTGTTTTTCATTGTTCTTCTCTTTGAGTGCTGCTTGATATGTCACTACTCTTTTTTTGTGTGATTTAATTTGCATTCAGCTTTTGAATATCATTTGATTAATTCCCTTGCATTTTGATGTTCCATCATATTAATTGGTGATGCCTTCTTCTGATTGACAGAATGGCCTTTCCTTTTGACTCAATTCCGCTGTGAACCCATGCTGGAATAGGAACCCTCACATTATTACCCAGTCCAAGCTGCAAGTGAGTTTTGAGGCACAAAAAGGGCCTATCTTGATGCGTGAACTCAGCTTCGGCAACTTCCATGTGCATTGGACATGCCCAAAAACTTGTGCCCAAATTTCTCTTTCACCTCATAGTCTTATGTCCTTGCAGCTGAATTAAAGGTCTATTCTATTCACCCTGTGTAGGTATTAGTAGTTGTCATTTTTCATATTAACTCCATCTTTAGTGTTTTTTCACATCACTTTTACCCATATCTTGACAATGAAGCACACTTGAAATAAAATACAACTAAGGTGCACTAATATGGGTTACTATGAACAACATCGCATGTTTATTTGCATACTATGGTAATTGTGTGTGGAGGAAAATGTCCCACCATTATCGGAATAGTTAGCACAGCCACAAAAACATGGGGGGGGGGGTCACAACCTCAGTTGCCAACCCCCCATTGATACGGGTCTTGAAGAGCACAGGGAGCAAGTCAGAAAGGCATTTTCCAATACGAGGGTCAAAAACCTCAGTGTGAGGCAGGAGTAGGTCTGACCACTTCGTGCAGTTGCCCAGTATGTCCTGACTTTCTCAAAAATGCTACAGCACTGGGAAGTCACAGGCAGTTGGAAGACAATGGTGAGGATTCAATTCATTCATTTCTCTATTTTTCAATAAGAATGATTTTCCACTCAAGGGCGGGATAATGCACTCCCTCATGCAACTCACTCCCCTTCGTCTGCTGCACAAATACCGACATTCAAGACTGAACAAGAGCAACATCCTGTCTTAAAAAACGGTTGGGGAAATGAACACAGGGGCCCTCCCATTGGTCTATTCAACCCTGTCTTCAACTCTTTTCATGAGGCCTTACGAAGTTCTGAACACTGTCTGCAGATGCAAAGTCATAGAAGCCTTTTCATGGCATCTGCTCAACTTTGTCACAACCCGACATATCCATCACTTCCATCAATGTGTCCTAGTGCCACTTGGCCCATCCCACCCGCTATTATCATCCATCCATCCATCCGTCTGCCTGTCACCCTCATCCACACTTCCTCCCCCACGTGCATACCTTCCAACCTAGGTTGCCTGCTTGAGTGGTTCTTGTTGTCCACCTGCCAGCCAGATGGCTTGCTAGATGGCCGGATGGCCTTTTCTCTTTTGTTTGCTTGCAGACTATTGTTCCTCCTTTGCCACTCGTTATTTCTTGCTTGCCTTTTTGTTGACCAAGTTTGCCAATAATAACCATTTGTCTCTTTCTTCATTCATTAATATCGCACTTGATCCGCCACTCCTTCCAGGCTGGTCCATTTAGTTACTTGTGCTTATAATGCATGTAGGTTACACCGGATGTACCTCAGTTCGTATATTGACTTGGATTTACCCCCCTTGTCTCTTCTCCTCATCGTAAGGCTTCTGTCTGAAATTGGGACAACAACGTAAGAACGAAGCGCAGTGCTCCACCTGAGTCGCTGAAGCTAAAGTCCCACCCCTCCAACCTTACGAGCCCAGATGACTTCACACGCCTTGCGGATCATCTGGATATGCATCTGACACATTCCTGACAGTATATACAAACTCAAATTGCTCTTACGTTCTTTCCTTGCTCTGTCATTGTTTCACTGAAATACATCTAGAGCTTATCAGACCCGTTCACAGACATGCACTGAACCTGGTTCTTCTAGGCTTCCAGGTCTCAGTATGCTTGAAGAACTGTTGCACAGACACAACCTAGACCCTTCTGAACATCTGCCATTCCAAAGCTTTACAGCCGACTGTGATGACCCTACCTCCTCCACTCCAGCACCCTCCCATCAATTTCGTCGTTCCATTTTCCAAGACCATGATGAGGCAGCTGCTGTCGAGAGAGCTGTCGATCCGGATAGCCAAGCTGATGACCATGATTCCGAAGCTTCTCGTAACCCTACTCCACGTCCTGATCCCGCTAATCCTCTGGACCCACCAGACACCCCACCCAACCGTGGTAACGGTGGTGGTGATGACGGTGGTGATGATCCGCCTGAGGATCAGCTGCCAGATGACCCCAGTAGCCATGTGTTGACCCAGTTGACAGACGCTATTGCCGCCCTGGCCTGCTCAACCACTGCTGCTCATCAACCCCCAGACCCCAGCCGTAGGATGAAGCTTCATGAGCCTGACCAATTTGATGGTACTGACCCTCAGAAACTCTGTACATTCCTTGTTCAGTGCGAACTTAACTTCCAGAACTGCCCCCAAGCATTTGTTAACGAGCATATGAAAGTCATCTATGCTACGTCCTTCCTCAAGGGGATTGCTCTGAGTTGGTTCGAACCTGAACTTCTTCATGGTAACCTGCATCGCCGTCCACGTTGGATGGATGACTATGAACTCTTCGTCTGAGAACTCGAAGAGAACTTCGGCCCATACGACCCATTTGGTGATGCTGAACATCGTCTGAGTACTCTGACTATGTTGGATAATCACAGGATCACCAAGTACATCGTCAAGTTTAATCGCAATGCTTCACAGTTACCTGGATACAGTGAGGTTGCCTTGAGGCACCATTTCTACAATGGGTTGCCGGATAGGATCAAGGATGAGATCACTCATTATGGTAAGCCACACTCGTTGCATGACATGCGCTCTCTTGCCCAAGATATCAATGGACAATACTGGGAGTGCAAGGGCAAGTTGTTGCACCATCCGAAAGATCGAGCTACCTCACCCAACTCCTCCAAGCAGAACGCGAAATCGGGCAAGAACTCGAAGTACTCTAAGTCCTCCAATCCTCCTGACTCCACATCCGACCCTTCCACCTCCGCTGATTGCTCTACCAAGGACCCTAAAAAGTCCAAGGGAAAGCAACCCGACTCTGATCTGTCCTCGAAGCTTGACAAGAGCAGCAAGCTCACCAAAGAAGAATGCCAGCATCGCTTCGAGAACAACCTCTGCCTCTTCTGTGGGCGCTCTGGGCATGTGGCCAAAGAGTGTCCTAAGTCCTCCTCCCATGCAGCCAAAGCTAGA